TATCTGGATTCCGAATTCTCTTTAAAAACTGGATAGGAAGGTTGGACAACCATGGGTCCACCACCCACAGAGCAACAAATGGGTGGAGCTTGGGGTGGGGGGCGCCACATTCCACCCCCACCCAGCCTGATCCCACCAGCCTGACCGTGTCACCTGCCTGGATCCTGGAGGTTTGCAGGCGTGAGGCTTCCCAGTGGGTAGGATTCCTCAGAGGGGTGCTGAGGGGCAGGTGGAAAACTCCGGGGCACTTTTCATGGGGCTGGAAATATCTTCAGGAATAAGAGGAGACCAAGGCCCAGAGAGGGGAAGCCACTTGTCAACGTCACACAGCATTTCAGAAATCTCCCAACTTGTGGACGGTGCGTTCCTCAACCACATGAGCCAGATGGGGAGAGAGGAGGTCCTGACTCTGGCCCACCATGCCTCCCCTCTCTGCTCCCCATCAAAGCCCGTTAAGACTCCCTTAACGATGCGTGCACTGTCAGCCCTCCCGGGAGCTGGTTCTGGGGTCCTAGCACCTCCTCGGGCCAGCAAGGACACGTCCGCGGCCCTGGCCACTAGAATGCCCCATCTCAAGCCAGCACCCTCAGTCATGAGGCCTGGGTTCAGGTCCCAGCTCTGCCACAGACACACTGTGTGACCACGGATCGGTCACTGTTCTTCTGCACCTGTTTCCCCATCTACAGAGAGTAGGTCCTTCAGCTCTATCAGGGAATGCTCTCGATGGAAGGACATCCCCTCTCAAACGATGGACCCGCCTCGCTGAGGCAGGTGGCAGGACCTGGGAACCTGAGTGTAAGTGCCCTTCCAGTCTACACCCATCAAGGACATGGCCAGCCACATGCACCAAGGGGCGCTAACGTGGGCCGACGAGAGGGCCGTTACCTGTGCTCCCCACTTCCAGCCCAGCTGTGGCGAGGAGCTGCCCCCACCCTATTAAAGTCAAAGGGGGCACAGAGCAGACGGGCTACTATCCTGGTGACAGAAGGCAGGTGCTCGGTCCGAGGGGAGCCTCTTCCTCCAGAGTCCACATCCCCAACTCCCAGACCCATGATGATCACTGATCTTGGGGACCACAGTGTGTGAGGCCGTTCAGCCAAACCTCCCTCCTCGCCCCGAGTCCTGCCAATCCTGTCCCTCTGGAAGCAGGACGAGACCGGAAAACCTAGCCTCGCCTGGCAAGGAAAATGGAGGAAGCCCGGGCTTTGCAGCCAGAGGCTGCTGGGTTCCAATCCCAGCTTGGCTGCCTCCAGGCGGTCATGTCCCTACTCTGAGCCTCAGTTTCCCCCATCTCGGATGATGACAGCAGTCCCCGCTCACTGGAAGCCCACGCCACGCACCAGGCTCCAGGCTCTGTGTAACGTGCATTGCTGCCCGGCATTTCCACATTGCTGGCAAGGAACCTGGGGCCCAGAGAGGGGATGTGGCCCACCCAAGTCCCACAGCTACAGGTGATTGGCCACAGGACAAGGCCAGACCTGCCTGACCCCATAGCCACAAAATAGTGATCACTGGCAAGCGGAAACCAGGGCATGAGGACAGAGATCCTGGCACAGGAGGGCACTATTATTTCTATGGATGGGATAACCAAGGCCCAGAGAGGGTAAGATACCTGCCTGAGTTCCCACAGCAAACCGCCTTTTGATTTTCTCCTCATAGCCAGGGCGTCAGAGGAAGAGGGCTGTATTTGGAATCCAGAGACCCATCAGGGCATAGCTTCTGCCCTTGCTGACTTCATGGCTTGGAGCAGGAAGCCCCCCCCAACCGCCCCCAATCCCAGTCCCAGTTTTCTGTAAAATGGGGCTCCCCACACTTTCCTCACAGGCTTGCTGTGGGCACAGGTGGAGGGCATGGGTGTGAAGGCACCCAGAGCCACAGGCCGGGGTGCCTAGCGGTCACCGAGGCAGCCCTACCTGCCACCTGGCTTCCCCAGAGCTCCGCCCAGTTCCTCCTGGCAGGCAGTAGGTGCACATTTAGTATCTGCTGAATGAGAACATCCGGGAGCTCAGGGCCAGGAGCCGTGGGGAGGAGGGCAGCCCCTGGTCCCCAGGCAGGGAGGAGGCCCAGGGGGCCCCTAAGATGCCAGGTTCAGCCCAGGTGCCCCCATCAGCATTCAGGTGGTACCCCGGCCTCTGCCAGTACATTATGCAAATGCCTCGAAATGGATGTTTTCATTATCAGATTTAAAACACTGTATGAGAACAGACTCAGTTAATCTCCTGAGCCGGGGAGGGGTTTGGCAGAGCAGCCTGTAAAAAAAATGTCCAATTCTCGTCTCTCCCCCTGTCTGGGTAGTTAGGCTGCTCCCCACTCTGTTTGCCCATGAGGGTGGTGATAATGGGAGCATTCGGGCCTCCCCCCTTCTCCCCACTGCTGAGAGGGGGTTGGGGGTGGCCCAGGATGACAGGAAGTGTCTTTCTCTCTCCCTCGGACTGTGACTCCCCAATTCCTGCCCCGTCCCTCCTCGGTTTACAGGAAGAAGCAGACAGCATTGGCAGGACCATGGGGGTCTAAGGTGTGGGCAGCAAGGATGGCCAAGCGGGCAGAAGGGGTGAGATGAGCTGGCACCTCTAGGGCGGAAACGACATCTCAGCTATGACGATTAGGCAGGGATTGGAGAGGGGGCTTTGGGAGGTCCCTGGTCATCTCCTGGAGAACAGCAGAGAAGAGACGCTAAGAACAAGGCTCTGCAGTCACGAACACCTGGGTTCAAATCCCACTGTCGCTTGCTTGCCTTGTGACCCAGGGCAAGTTACTTCCCTTCTCTGGGCCTCAGTTTGCTCATCAACAGAATGGGGAGAACGATACCTATCTCACTGAACTGAGCAGGCTCACAGGGGTAAGGCCTACAAAGCACTAGGCACCACGCTGGGCATGGAGCAGGTGCTCCGGGAGGTCGGCTGTTAGCGATTCAGGAGCTGACAAAGCCACCAGGAGGGGATTGACTGAACAATGAACACAGTTCATGGGACATATCTGCAGGATAACCGGTAGGGTCTCTTGAGCAAGCTGTGTAATGGAGGAAAAAGGGGTGTGTGTGTGTGCGTGTGCGCGCGCGCACGCATGCACGCACGCCTGGGTGGCTCAGTTGGCTAAGCGTCTGCCTTCGGCTCAGGTCATGATCCCAGGGTCCTGGGATCGAGTCCCGCATCGGGCTCCCTGCTCAGCAGGGAGCGTGCTTCTCCCTCTCTCTCTCTCTGACAAGTAAATACAATCTTTAAAAAAGAGAGAGAGAACTTAGGGCTGTTAAGAGCCACATGTATGGTCCTAAACAGGATTCTGGGCGTTTGGGTGACAATTAGGGGGAAGTGTAACTATGGCCTGGGAATTAGGGTGCAAACATATTGGAGGCATGTTGCTTAGGCCCTGGGCAAAGGGACTGGCCCAAGCACACTGGGATGGCAGGGCGGGGCCTGACCGTGCGCGCACCTGCAGCCAGCTCCCTACCTCCACAGGCTGCCAGCTGTCCGTCCGGCCACTGGGAGCAAATCCTCCCCGACAGAGAGAGCACGGGTGCGAACCGCAGCAGCTACTCTGTCTGCCGAGAGTCGCAATATCTGCCACCTGTCTCGCCACGTGAGACCTCTGCCAGCCCGGAGAAATTGCCAACTTGAGGCTGTGACGGTGGGTGTTGAATCCACAAGATGCTGCAGAGGCTGGGAGCGGTCCAAATGCTGACTTGGGGAATTGCTCGCCTCCGGCTGGCAAAGCAGACACAGGTGCTTGGGTGACCCGTTCGTCGGGGGAGCTGGAGCGGCGGTGACCCCCCGGGGTCGCAATCTAGGCGGTTTGGACAAACTGGGCTGGCGGCTTCTCACTGGCTCTGTGCACCGCCCCGAAATTTCGGAGCTCTGAGAGGCGCTCTAGCTTCTGGCATGGGACAGGGAGCACGCTGAGCGTTCATGAGCACCTACTGTGTGCCGGGCACTGGGCCACGGGCTCTACGTGCTTTCTCACGCCCTCGTCTTGAAACCTCTCTCAGGTGGGTGTTGCTAGTTCTTCCACCTTCCAGATGAGGAGGAGGTGGGCCTGGCTCGCCTGGCTCGCCTGAGGTCACGTGGCCAGTGGGTTGGGCAGAGGGGAAGGGAAGCTGGGGCTCATCTCATTCAGTGTCCTCAGCCTTGGCCCCGCATTACAGGAATCACCTGGGAGCTCTTAAACACCACCCAGGACTGCGTCCTGCTGAGATTCGTTCAATCAGAATATTGGGGGGTGAGGCAGGCATTCCAGGGTGGTTTTGATGTGCAGCTGGGAGAACCCCAGGCAAGGGAAAGGGGGGAATGCTCCCTGCAAATGCAAACTGTCTACAAACACAATGGAAGAGATCGGTGAGAGATCGGTGGCAGGAGTGGGCGCCTCGAGGCCCCTGTGGTGGCTGGGGTGAGGCTGTATTGGCCGAGGCATGAGCAGTGGGTTGGCCTCTGCTCTGGGAGACACACACAGTCCCCAGGGAGTGAGAAAGAGGGTCTCAAGGAGCAGCTAGGTTCTGGGGGCCTCAGCCTCTGGACACCTGCCATGGGCATCTCTGGGCGCCCCAGGGAGCTCCCAGGCTGGCCTCCTACAGCGTGGAAATACTGTCAAGCAGCATCCTCGAGAAAGCATCTTTCGGTCCCGGCTGCTTGTTCAAATGGTGTGGGCAACTTTTGAAAATACCCAGGCCCCGGCCCCACTCTGACCGAGTACATCCAAATCCAGAGGAAATAATGAGCCCAAGCGTAGAAAGCAGCGAGAATCGCCCCGACCTGTGTCCAGGCAGAAGCACGCAGGGGCTGAGGGCAGGTGCTGTAGTCACATCGTTGGACTGGGAATCCTGCCTCCCATGTGGATTAGCTGTGTGGCCTTGGCTGACTTACTCAACCTCTCTGAGCTTCAGTTTCCCGATCTATACAATGGGGCTGAGACGAGCAATTGTTCTCCAAGCCCGGAGCAGATGAAAAAAGATGATGGATCTATAGTGCTTAGAACAGTGCCCAGCACCTGGTAAGAGCTCAGTATTCACGTTATTTGTTTTATGCGTTATTTGTGTTTTGAGGAGAAGCAGGCAACCGCCATCAGTGATGCTAGGACAGGCATCCTCCGTATTGCCCTCATGTCTCTGGCAGTGAGCCCAGGCACAGCCCGGGAGGCCTGGCATGACGGGTGGGGGTGGGGGGTGCGGAGCTCAGATGCTGCTCTTCAGGCCAGCTCCCACTCACCCTCCCTTTGAAGACCCTGGGAAAGGCACCCGCTGCCCCCTAGTGGCCAAGGGCAGAAGCGCAGGGCCATTTTAACCGCATCCTGAACTCCCTGCCCAGCCCCCACCTTCCTGTGTGCCCCCTGCAGGTCCCGGGCTGTGGTAGCTCCCCGCGGCCATGCGCTAGCTACGGGGGCTTTTTGATGGATTCTGCCGTTTCAGATGGAGCTTTGACTGGTAATATAAAGTTCAAGCAGGGCCAGGTAGGTGCCAGGCACTGGGCTACAAGCACTTGAATCTTTTTTTCCCACCCAGCGAATTGCAGAAAAAAAAGGAAGATTCCAGAACCTACAGGTTTTTGTTTCTAAGGCTCACAAAAGTCTGTGAATTCATGAGTGCTCACGACTCCGGGGGCCAGGAAGCTTAAAACTCCCCTTTCTGGAAAAGCAGGTAGGAATTGTGCTGGAGGACTGAGGGCCATCTGGGAAAACCCTACCAGTAGTGTCCCTGAGACACAAAACTGAGTGGCCCAAAGCCCTTCTTTCCTTCAACTCCTTAAGAGCTCCACGGGGGAAAGTGGCTGGAGAAGGTACAGAGGAGGCAGGCATGGGCGGGCTGGAGACTGTACCAGACTGTCATCCTTCTTTCTGGACTCCAAGGGAAGCCCTGGTTTACTCAAGAGCTTCTTATTTCCCCTCTGCCATCTTTTCTGCAAATCCTGTGGGTACAGACTGGAAGAAACTGGGTACATCGACCATGCCTTCGGCCAACCCTGGGACGGGAGGGCAGAAGGCAAAGACCACTGCCCATACAACCGCTGGGGGGCCCGCAGTCTAGCTGGAGAGAAGAGCAGAGCACGCAGTGCTGAACGGTTCAAACAGACGGGGCGTACAGGGAGGGAGGTGGCACCAGGGTCACCCTGCCAGGGGTCGGGGAAAGCTTCCTGGAGGAGGTGGGAGGGGCCGGGCCCTGAGAGACAGGTGGCAGAGGGAGGGAGAAGGCACACTGCATCTGAGCGTCCAGCCAAGTGGGCAGAGGGTTTGAGAAGGCGGCAGTGGCCCAAAGATGCCCTAGCATCTCAGAGGACCCCACACGACCCCACTGCCCAGGCAGCTCAAGAGAAGGCAGGACACAGACCGGGTCTTCCAGGATCCCCAGCCCACTGCACGTTCCAGATCGCACCGCTGGGACTGCAGGGGTACAGCTGCTGGGAAGGCCAGCGCACAGAGGCTGGGGCCCACTGGCCAGCCCCGAAGCCAACTCCGGCACCCAGAATACCCCAGGAAGGCGCTTCTTGGTGGGGCTGCAGCGGTGCGGGCTCATCTCAGAGACCAACCAGGGCTTGGCGCACAGGGACGTCCAGGGAGGCAGCCGAGTGGATGGAGATGCCGGGGGCCCCGATGCTGGTTTCCCAGCAGTCAAACCCGCAGTCAGTCAGAGCCTGCTTCGTGGCCTCTACCTCTGGCTGCTCCAGATCTGGGGGGAGGGAAAGCAGCAGGTCACCCAACAATCTCTGCTCCCTTAGAGACTGTCCATCCAGGAAAAGGCCCGGGGCCAACCAGGTCTTCCTGTTGGAATGTCAAACCTTGCACCCTCGGGAGGGGGTGTGGGGGGTGCTTACGGAGCAACAGTTAAACTCATGGGCCTGGCCTTGTCACAGATCAGCCGGGGGGCCTCAGACAAGTGACTTCCCTTCTCTGAGCCTCAGTCTCCTCATCTGGGAATGGGGCTAGTAATACCTACCCCTCGAGGGTCACTGTGAGGCTTACATGGGAGAATGCAGGTAAGGTGCCTGGCACAGCAGACATTCCCCAGAAGCCTTCTCTCATCATCGTCACTGACCCTGAACTAGAAGCCAACAGTCAAAGTCGGCTGTCGGCCAAGCTGACTTCCTGACGCCTGGGAGTGCACTGAGCATGAGGGGAGTGGCTGGGGCCACTGTGGGCTGACTGCAAAGCAATAGAGAAAGGTGGGACAAAAAGAGGAAGGAAGAGAAGGTAAAGAAGGGAAGAGAAAGACCAGAAGGAGGAGGCAAAGGGAAAGCAACGGAGGCGAGAGCTCTGAGGGCCTGGTCCTGAGGGCAGGTGTGTTGACTGAGCACCACCAGGAGCCCCTTGCTGGCCCTGGGCACGTTACCCAGCCTTGCTCTTTCCCCAAACACTACGGGGAGAGAAAGCCCTTTGTTCTGTAGCGAGGTCAGTCCCCATCTTGGCCACATCAAGAGGTGACAGCGGGGGAGGGGTGAGGCTGACATGGGTGATGACAATGTCCTGGTTATTTCTCGAGCTCGTGGGAGACTTGGCAGGTAAGGAGGTGGTAGGGACAGCCGCCCATGGTATGAGCCCCTACCACAGCCCAGCCCTGTGCCAGGCATTCTAAATGCACTTTTCTCCTTGAACCTACACAACGATCTTATAAAATAGATGTGAGCATCCTTTACTTTACCGATGCAGCAACAAAGACCCAGAGAGGTTAATTAACTCGACCAAAGCCACACAGCAGAGGAGAGGCTGTTCTCCGGCGTCTTTCTCCTCCCGAGGGAATTGCCCAGGTAGAACGTCTGCATGAGCCCTGGCCGACAACCCTGCCCACCCCCCAGGTACCTGGCCTGAGGAGCGTGATGCCACAGCCACCGCCGCCCGCGCCAGTGAGCTTGCTGTGCAGTCCATGGGCCATGGTCACCTGGCAGAGCTGGTCCAGCGAGGCATGGCCCACGCCAAGGGCATTCAGATGGTGCTGGTTCATGTCGATGAGCTCCTGGAGGAGAAGGTTCCATCTGTTCCCACTTGGTGTGCCTGAAGCCAAGGTCCTGTGCTCACCCCATCCATGTGACGGCCACCGGTTTGGGACGGCAAATGGCTTAGACAAGCCAGCACCGTGTCCCTCTCCACTAGTCAAAGGACCTCTCCTTCCCGCAGGACTTCCCATGGGGCTGGGATGGAGCTGGTGGCGAACACATGTCCCATGCCTGGCCAAAGAAGCCTGTGGCCACGGTGAGTGGTCAGGAATGGGCCTGTGACCCCAACTGGGCCAACCACAGCCCTCCCAGGGTTTTCTCTGCCTCTGCCCTGGAGCTGCTAAAACTGGTTGACTTCAGAGAGAAGCCACCAAAGTTATCTGCCCTGCCCATGGTCAGAGATTATATGGAAGATGGAGAGAGATTTCAGACTGACTTGGTTTGGCCCCTGGATCCAGCTATGCCTGATGTTGTTCTTGCTGGTCTTCTCAGTTATGAGCCAATAAATTCCCTTTCTGTTAAAGCCTGGTTGAGATGGGTTTCTATCATCTGCAGGAGAAGTCTGAAGTACTATGCCATCCTACAGCTGCCTCAGGTGCCCAGATTTTCAGAATAAGAACCGGTTTATTGTCCCAACAAGGTCACAAGTGCGGGGAAAAAGCTAAATGTGTTCCAGGTTTCTTTGATCCTGCATAAAATTCCTGCTCTTCTGAGGCTCAAACAGCACGTAGGTTGATGAAATAACAAAACTGACAGCTAGCACAGCCCAGGTGCCCCCTACATTTCATTTACTCCACCTGTGTTTGCCAAACACCTTCACCATGCCGGGCACTGTGCTAGGCACTGGGGCTCTAGGAATGAGCACCCAGCTACGGTCCCTGCCACGGGCAAGCTAAGAATGTGGGATCTGGAGTCAGGGGGGGCCTGGGTTTAAGTCCCAGCTCTGTGACCTCTTGGTCCGTGAGGGCGTTCACCCTGTGCCTCAGTTTCCCCACTTGTAAAACTGGCATCGTAAGAGGTTCTGCCTCGTTGCCGTGGGGATGGGACGAAGTGAGTTTTTTGCATGATGCCTGGCCTGAGACGAGGGCTTTGGGAAAGTCAGCTGCTATTAATACTTTTATGGTCACATCACCACCATCTTCGTTTCAGGGGACACTAAGGCTCAGGGAGGAAAGCGACTTGCCTAAGGTCGCTGAGCTGGCAAGGTACTGAGCCAGCCCTGGAAGCCGGGTCTGCCCGGTGCAAAGCTCGCGTCTACCCTGTCTCCAAGAGCGCCCTTGGCATTCCGGCGGCCACCTACTTCTTGTGGCATGTGGCTTGGCAGCGCGCGGCTCTGCTCCAGGGAACGGGGAGCGCCTGCGTGCCGGGAGGGCTGCCAATCACCGAGCTGTCTGCTGAGGCCCACCTGGTTCTCCTGCCCTGGGCTGTCGGGCGGGCTCAGGTCAGCCCTCCCCTGCAGCCTGCCTCACACCCGCCAACCCTTCTGACAAATGAGCAGACAGGCGTGATGGCCCGGTGGCAGCCCCGGGTGCCTTTCCCCAGCCCCAGGGGCTGGATGTGAGGGAAAACTTCTGGGGGCTGCTCTCTGCGCCTGAGCGCGAGGTGTCACGTTGCCAAGGCAGGTTTCAGACACCTGTCACATTCTGATCCAAAATCTGTCAAGGATCAGATGACAGGTTGTGACACAGGAGAACAGCTCGCTGGTTTGAGCACAAAGCTGTCCAGGAGCCGAGCTGCACATTTCAGCGGCTGCCACAGCCAAAAATATACACAATGTATAATCAACGTGCTGTTCTGTGGCATTCTCCAGGGGCTCAACGGGGTGTATTTTAGGCAGTACTCTATCATTATTAATTTCATACTCAGGAGGACCGTGTTCCCTCCTTTCTACGTGAAAGGAATTGAAGCCAGCAAGGCAAACGCTGGGGGACTGGAGGCAGACAGCTACGGAAATGGGAGCAAAAGCACAGAAAGGAGGAGGGTCGCTGCCCCTGGCCCGGGTGGGCACTTGTTAGAGATCTGTTGGCTGAAGAGACAAGCAAGTCAGTTTGACACCTGGCACGGCCACTCAAGGGTTGGTGAACATTGGAGAAAGTTGTTCTTTAGGCCTCAGTTTTTAGATCTGTAAAATGGGCACAACATATCTACTTCCCAGGCAGGTGGTTACAGAAATCAAGGGAGAAGTCACTTGTGAAAAGGCTTGGCCTAGGAGCTGCTTCCGTTCACTACAGGGGCTGCTGACTCAAATGCCTACGGTGGGACAGGGAGGTACCAGGCAGCCTGCAGCAGTTGGGGGTGGCAGTTAGGGAGTAGTGGGGACTGTGGAGGAATGGAGACCACAGGACCTCCCCCGGGGGGCCCCTTCTGCACCTCCTGCCGACTGCTGCCACACAGCCTTGCCCGTGGGGCCTGCCTGATCCCGATTCAAGGGGAGCCCGATGGCTCTTTAATGTCAATCCATGTTTGCCAGGCCACCCGGACTGTGTCTGAGGATGAGCCTGTGCCCTCGGGCTTACTGAGCTTGTGGCTCATCAGACATGGTGACTGCATGTCACCCACTGCGCCTTACTGCATTCTTAGGACGCTCGGGGGAGACCAGCAGGGGTGAAGCTGGGTTCAGGTCGGGACCTGATCAAACCCAAGGTGTGAGGTCTCAGCCTCTACACGGGAGTTACGCGAAGGGTGGCGGCTCGGAGAACAATGAAGAAAGAATGGTGTTAGAATATGTCCGAACCAGGGCACCTGGGTGGCTCAGTCGGTTAAACGTCCGACTCTTGATTTCCGCTCAGGTCATGATCTCAGGGTCGTGGGATCGAGCCCCATGACAGGCTCCACACTCAGCGGGGAGTCTGCTTGTCCCTCTCTCTCTCTCTCTCTCCCTCTGCTCCTCCCCCCGCTCTCCCTCTCTCTCTAAAATAAATAAAAATGTCTGAACCAAAGCATGCCGGGGGTAAACAGTTACCAAAGGAACAAATGCAGTTAGCAAGAACAGCAGGAACAAGGTGGCCAAGCAAGGAATCACTCCTGGACCGAGAGAAGACGGTGTCGCAATATCCCACTGCTCCTCACGGGCAGGAACCCAAACCTGGCCCCTGGTGCTTAGCACGTCCGGGCACTGCGCTCTGCGCTCTGCACGGCTCCGAATCACCTGGGAAAAGGCTTAAAAAGAAGGCGTGCTTGCTGGCCTTTGCACACGCGGGACCTCAGGCCTGGGCCCAGCCTCTCTGCTTTGGCTTGGGGACTCTGAGTGCAGATTGGGAGCCCCTGCCTGACGACAGTGTGGGTGAGGCCCTGCAGCCCGCAGGCGGGCTCTTACTTCCAGCACGAGGTAGTGCTCCAGGGCCGGGGCCGCTGCCATCTCCCCCAGCAGCCGCTCGCACTCCAGCGAAATCGCGTTGATGGAGGCCAGCAGGGGCGTCACGATCTCCGGGAACTGCAGGGAGAGGAAGCAAGGGGCTGTGAGGCCTAGGGCCGGGCAATGGGAGGAGAGAGAGGTGTCCCCACGGCCCACTCCCCGCCTCTCCTTCCCTCCAGGTATCTGCCTTGCCCGGCACCCCCTGACATGAGTGGGGGATTCTCATGGCCAGGCCAGTATGTCTGACACTTCCTGTCCTGCCTCCCAGCTGGGGGACTGGGGGGGACTGGGGGGGGGACTGGGGGGGGGCTGGGGGGGGCCCACCCAGCACCTCCTTGTCAGCCAAAACCGCCTCCCCCGGTCCCCATCACCCATCCCGGCCCTCCACTAACCCACGGGGCAGAGGGCGAGCTTGAGCCCCCAGACCTGGCTGCCGTGGCCCTAGTGGAACCCTGCCCAGGAGTGGAACCGAACGCACCTTAAGCAGCCTGCTCCTGACACTGGCCACCAGAGCCTTGGTGCTGCGAGGGACTTTGGTGTTGGTCAGCAGGATCTTCAGAGCCGGTGGCCTGTGGGGTGAAGGGGGGCCACAGTGAGCTCAGGATGGAGGAGTGGTGTCAGGGCTGGGGGGAATCCCAAACATCACCCCACCCTGTCACAGAGGAGGAAGCGGAGGCCCAGGGAGGGGACATCAGGGGGCTGGAGGGGGAGCGAGGGGAGCAAGGGACTCCTGCTGCCAGTCACAGAGGTGTCCCCACTCCAGCCCCCAGGCAGATGGGACACTTTCCTTTGGCTTGTCACTCAACCCACTCGACTTCAGTGGGGGCACCTACTATGGGCTGGGCACACGTGAGGGGCCCTGGCTTAGCCTGGCGCTGGCAGAGCACGCCAAGTTCACAGGGTCAGAGGAGTTCAAAGGTACTATAGCTGAAGGTGGAAGAAGGGGGGGAGGGTCTGTCCTGTGGGCCACCCCAGCTTGCTGGAGTGGAAGGGTCTAGAGATTTAAGAAGAAAAGCAATGGGACCTGGGGTGGATCACACAGAAGGGGTGCACGCAGGGAGAGAAGATGCCCAGGTTGGCTGGTACAGTGAGCCCAGGGCTGCAGGGAAGGGCAGGCTTGTGCAGGGGTCAGGTTCCCAGCACGTGGGGCCCATCCTTGCCCTGCCTTGATGGTGCTCAGACCCGCTGCCCTGGCTCAGCCAGAGATGGTTGGAGTCAGGCGTCCCTGCTTGGCTCCCCCACATAAGCAAATAGAGGGCCCAGGGTGGCCATGGTAAGCTGCCCTCGCCAACCCCCTGAGCTTTAGAATACTTCCTAAAGTCACAATCCGAATTGTGCTATGGCTGGTGGTCTTGGGGGACTCAGGGCACCGTTTCTTGTCATTCCCAAGCTGCCTTTCAGAGCACTGTGGGCTGGGGACTGAGAATGGAGCATCTGGATGAGCTCTGGCCCAAGACAGCTGGAGACAGGCAGACCCCTTGATACCTTTACCCGTTTTTCTTTTCACAACCCAAGACTGTAAAATCCAATAGGGCTGGAAAAGGCTGCCAGAAACCTGCTTGATCTCACCGACCGTAAGCCCATGTAATTAATACCGATTCTCAGCCTTGGAGGCCGACTTTTTTTTTTTTTTTTTTTAACTTTACAAAAAATGAACATTCTATTTGGCTTTTCTTTTCCCCTTAAAGACAAGCTGTTCCTCAAAAGGGCAGCGTTCTGGGAGGCCATATCTTGATCCACTTCGCAAACAATGCATTTTTTTTTTTAATGGAGAAGCACCATGCATGGTTTTGGGGGAAAGGGTTCCTCTTGAAGCCATCGGCGGGATTAATGCGGAGTCTGGCCTCCCAGCTTCTCAGAGAATCCGCCATCTGCTCTCCGTGGCGCCCCGCGGCCCGCAGTGAAGGTCGGTTTGCTCTGTGCTCCCATCCAGTGGGGTGGGAGGAGTTTGAATATTGTGTCTTCATCTTTCTTAGGCAAGTCCTCTGCGAACAGGCTTGTTGCAGCCCCGCTGGCCCCCCCAAACCCCGGGCTCCTGGGGCAGCCAGACACCACCGCCCAGGCTCCGCTGTGTGAGTGCCTATCGGTGCTAGGCCTGGCCAATTCCTCGGTCTTACCTCCTCTCCACCCTCCCTGGGTGTTCGCTCCACTCAGCCATCCTGGCCTCCTACCGCCCGCTCAGCCCGCCAGGCACACCCCGGCCTCAGGGCCTTTGCACTTGCGTTTCCTCCGCCAGGGAGGGACCCACCTGTGTCCTCGACAGCTCCAGGATTCACTTTTTGTGTTTTCATTCAGGTCCCTGCTCAAATGTCACTTCATCAGAGGCTCCCCTGGTCCTCCACCCAACTGCCTGCCATGCTCTTATGGAGCCCTTTGTCAGCTGTCTCCTCCCATGAAATGGGAATTCCGTGAAGGCGGGCCTTATTCTTCCCTGCTGAGGCCCCAGCACCCAGCACACAGTAGTTGCTCAGTAATATTTGTGGAATTAAATCTGGTCGGCAAAGGGCAAAACACTCTACAGATACGGTTTCTGATTTCATGCTCAGGATCCTCAGTATATAAACACAGGAAAGTTTGCCTCAGGAAAAGCGACTCAGTCAAGAGCACCCTGCTCAGGAGTGGCAGAGCTGGGCTCAAATCAAAGCCTACAGATCCCAGAGCCTCTGTCCACCACACCACCACCAGCTGGCCACCGAATATGCCTCGGGGCCTCTCCCCCTGCCTCCCCCACCTGGAAAGCCCTTTATCACTCATCTCTTGACTTCCCTCCGGTAGAATGGGCACATACCCACACCATGTTTTAGCTGGTTTTCTATCCCCGGGGCCCAGTTTGGTGCTTAGGATACAACCAGCTCTCAGAAAACCCTGAGTGAGATGCCATGGCCCCCATGAAGCACCCCCAGATCTGTAGCCCGACTTATGACACCCCTCACCATCATCCACAGCAGCTCCAGTACTCTCTGGAGGCCTTCGTCCTGAGGAAGACAGTCGCCCCAGTCTGAGGGTGACTGGGAGCCCCACGGGCAGGCCCAGCTCTGGCATTTCGAGCCCCCCGACTGCTGCTGTCGCTGCACCGGGCATCAGTCTACCTGGCAGAGCCGGCCCCACCTGGGCCCCCAGCTCCCATGCCCCGAGTGCGCAGCAGCTACAGCGGGCTGGTCCCTCCCCTAAATGACTCTGCTTCCTCCTCGGTGCAGAGTGGAGGTTATCATCTCGATTTTTGCCCTCCAGGGTAATGAGGCAATGTCTGGAGACACTTCCGGTTGTCACAGCTGGGAGATGGGGGAGGTGTTACTGGCATCTTGCGGGTAGAGCTCAGGGATGCTTCTAAACCTCCTAAACACGCTGCAGAGGGCAGCCCCCCGCCATAAAGAATTATCCAGTCCATGATGTCGATGGTGTCAAGGTTAAAGAAACCCTAGTGTCGAGCCTCGGAAAGGCAGGCCTGGCTCTTGGAAACCAACAGAGGCGAGGCAGGAAGATCCCAGAGGTGCAGGTAGAAGAATACAGCACCATGTCGCGCCAGGTCAGGGAGCCACTAACGGAGTGGCCCAGTGGGCAAGGGCAGCGGGCTAGGACTTGCTGCCCATCCACAGTGCAGACAACCCTCCTCACCCTCATCCCCGTGGAAAGGCCACCAAAGTAGCAAAGTGCCCTGGGACAAACACCACCACCCGACTTGATGGAGGGCTCAAGGAACTGCCAACAAGCGCCTGCTACCGCGCGCCCCATCCGTGTCCACTCTGAGTCTGAAGAGAACAGGGTGTTCTATTTTAACACGCACGTTTGTAATCCCCATCCCTCCAGAGGAAGGGGGTCAAGGGACACGTGAAACGGGCTGAAAAGCTATCACATGTCACCGCCCGCTCGAGCCCGGGCTCTGCCCGAGGGCCTCAGTGTGGCAACTCCCACGTTTGCCTGCGGCACCTGGTGCGCATGTGTGCCGGCCCTTCCCCTACGCCCCCACTCCCCCCACCCCCACCAAAACTGTGTCTGCGACTCAACTGTATAGCCCGAGACCCTAGTACAGCGTTGCCCAGGAACACAGGCAGATATCAATTCTGGTTTGCAAAATGAATACACGAGCGCATGGATTAAATGACTGAGAGGCCAGGGGTCTGGGGGAGCGGTCGCTCTCCGGAAAGTGACCGGCACAGCCATGCATGACTTCTCCCTCTAAGCTCTCGGCGATCTAAGAGACACAGCACAGAAGGTAAGAACAGACCTCACGGGGGAGGGGAGAGAAAGCCCGGGGACACACGGCCCACCCGTGTCCCTCATCATGAGGTTAGAGCCCCCCACCAAGCTGGACGCGTTCCACAGCTGTGCCCGGAGCTGCTGTTCCGCCCCAGAATTACCTCTTTAGAGAGGAGATCTTTCCTTGTTGGAATCGGAGTGCTCCTCCTAAAGAGAAAAAGCAGCGGGTCAGAGCTGTAGGAAAAGCTATGAATCTTTGCCTCTTGGCCGAGAAGCTGGGCTTGAGGTGCGGGTGAGAGTTCTGTCCCATCCACTAGTCATCCCAGTCCCAGTTACACAAGGTCCAGGAGGGCACAAAGGCTCGCCTGATCTCCAGCCTGCCCGGCCTCAGGCCACAGGCCACGGGGGAACGGGGGCCCAGCACTGCGGCCAGGCCCCATAAGCCAGGGTCCTCCCCGGAGGGGACCCCAGCTGGTGCAGCTCTGCAGCTTTACCACACGGACCTTCGTGGGGAGCTCCCTGAAACTGTAGCTTCCCAGGCCCTGCCCCGGCCCCCCAGATACCCCCAGAGATTAGATTCAGGGGTGTGAGGCAGGGCCCTGAAATTTCTCCCATCCCCCCCACCCCCGAAAAGGAAAATACTATTTTCCTCAGAACCCGCTGATTTCGTTCATCCAAACCAACAGAGCCTGAGCAGCTACAATGGTCCTGAGAATTTATAAAATACTAAAAATAGAGAAAACAAGCCTGAGGCAGCCCCTACCCCAGGTGCTGACGGCGTTGTCCACTCCGGAGGGGTTCCCATGAATCACTCTCTCCCCCTGGAAGGCCCACTTGTTAATTAATTCCAAATCCTCCACGGTCCACCTGGAGAAGACACAGGAGTTCGTCTGTGCCTCGGAGGAGAGCAGGGGGCCAGGGTCGCCGAGGGCAGCAGGGGGAAGGATGCACAGGTTAAGCTTGGTGGAGACCAAAAAAAGTCAAAGGGGCTTGGGCCCTCGAACCCAGAAACAGAGGAACAGCCTGGAACCTCTCCCCTACAGAGCGTGCTGTACCTTCCTCCCTTCCCCTGCAGCCCTCCCACCCGGCACCGTGGAAGGAGACCAGGCTTCGGATGCACACGGTCCTAGCAGCTGAGGGACTCTGGGCCCGTTACCTAACCTGTCTGAGCCCCATTGTCCTCATCTGACTTTTCCCAAAGCCCAACCGCTAGGAACGTGGATTGCAGGTGCCCCGGACACCCTCAGTGGGTCAAGCGTGCATTGTCCATCTCTGGATCGTCCCTAAGCACGTGGCCACGCTGCCTTTCTCAGGAGAAGTGGGGGCTCACGCACGGTTTGAGTGAGCAGACCCCAAGCCCGTGAGTATCGAACAAGGATACAGTCAGCCCTTCCCCTGCCCTTTCTCTCAGCTTTTGTTTCCTTTCTGGGGACCCCCTGCCCCCATGAAACGGGGTGCTGTGGCCCCGAGAATGCTGGGGCTCCGGGGCAGAGCTGTGCAGCAGGCATGCCGCTGGTTCTCTGGGCATCCCCAAACAACAGCTTCACCCCCAACCCTGTTTTCTCATCTTCATCAACACAACACGGGTGATCATGTCTCCCCCACCGAGGACGTGTGAGATAACACAAAAGTGCTTTGTAAAACGCCTGGGAAACAGTAAGGGCTCCGGAAAAAGGTCGCCTGGGATTGCGGCTCCTGGATTCACTCCAAGCCTGGTCCAGCGCTCATTTGCTGTGGGACCTGAGCAAGGCCATCGCCCCCTCTCTTTCCTCACTGGCCAAATGAGAACGTGATGCCCTCACCACTCACATGGCGCTTGAGAGGCTCAATGCCATCACCAAGTGCTGAGCACCGTGCTGAAGCCTTTCTCAAATGGCTGTCTCCGGTAACCCCCACAAAAACCCTACAGAGAAGGTAGTTACTATCCCTCTCGTATAGAAGAGGACACTGAGGCTCAGGTGGGTAGAGCAGATCCCAGTGCTATTCACTGCTACATCAGTACCACATCTGCTGACTGGGGCCCAAGCTCCCAACGACTGAGCTTTATGGTGCCAACAAGACTCCCTCATTTGTCCAATATTTACTGAGCATCTACTATGGGCCTGTGACTAAGCTCACGGTAGGGAATGAACCAGACACGGCCCCTGACTGCTTGAGGCCTGGCATCTCACGGAGAGGGGATGCCCAGCAGCAATCATTATTTAACTACAACCCCCAGGAGATGCGATGTGGGGTGGATGGGGTGCCCCCCATCTGGAAAGGGGAGGGCCTGAGGTGGGTCAGCAAGGCAAGACGTGAGAGGAGAGCATTCCAGACCGAGGCTGTGTAGCATCTGGAACTGGGCAAGAGTCGGCCCTTTGCAGGAACTGCAAAGTGAGTGAGTGACGGGGAAAAGGGGCAACTGGACCCAGTCCAGGACCTGGCCTTCTCCACAAAGGCGAGTCTCCCTCCCATTCTGCACACCGTTCATCCTTCGGGGGCTCAGATTTCTAACCTCCTCTTCACAGGAGACCGGATTCCAGGTCTGTAGGATTTGGAAATGCTGGGGCCAGGGCAGGGGTTGGGACCTGCTCTCATCAAAGGTCCTGGGAAGGAATGACTGGGTCTTCAGGGGAGGCGGCAGAGCTGGTTGTGAAGCTGCGTGAGAAAGAGCATCACCCCACCACACACACTCTCGAGCACTCACACACACATACATACACTCGCGCACACACGAGTTACCACGCCTTTTGAACAGCAAAGCTGGTCGGCTGGCCCATACGTACGAGTCTATTCGGGGGACCCAGGGCAAGCGGGCCTTCACCAATCAGTGATTAGCACATGCTAATGAGCACCATCGTATCACAGGATCACCAAACATCAAGGCTGGAGGGCCCCCCAAAGGCCCATTAGGTGCAGCCCCTCACTTCCAGATGAGGAAACAGAGCCCAGGGAGAAGAAGGGGTGGCTCAATGGCCTGCAGCGAGTTAAAAGACAAACCTCACCGAAATTCCTGAAAACCGTCACCTTGTGTGACCTACAGGTGCCATCTCTCATTACCTTCTGGATTCTTCCCCTGACAAAAGCCGTCTCTACCCCAGGCCTCCCACTTCTTTTCATGCACAGGAACCATCCAAAGCGAGTGTGAGGAATGCTGACAGACACATCCCATCGAGAGCCACCCCCGCCCCAGATCTGCTGCAGCCATGAGGATCCAAGGGACCTTTGGGCTCAGTCTGAATTCAACTGTATTTTAACCTCCGTGTCTCAGAAGAGAGATCACTGGCCCCCACAGGGCACCCAGCGGGGCCCGGGCTATCAGAAAAGCACGGCATTTTCAGGGCCGAGGAAGGAAACCTCAATTCAAAACCAAGTTCTGGAGGAGGAAAGGGGTCCTCAGCTGCAGGCGAGCACAGCGTGGCCTTTGGGTCTGGTTCCAGCCTGGGCCCCTGCAGGGGTGTGGAGGGCACGGGAGCACCACTCCGGGAGGAACCACACGGCCATGTCCATGCTGGCGCCTAGCACGGCCTGAACAGCTTTCTCTCCTGCCGGCTACCCCAGGAGACAGACAAGCCAGCGGTGCCCCTGACATGGCACATGGGGGGTACCCAAGGCCGCCAGTGGGAGGACCTCCCTGAGCCCCACGGGCCCAGGGACAGGCCTCACCAAGAAGCTGCCAGGCTGGATTTTGGACTGGCACCACTCCCAGGGAGGGACCCAGGACAGACCGTGCTCGGGTGGCTTCTCGAGGTGCATTCCCCAGTGACAGACATGGCTGCCAGTGACACTGTCCCAATGAGCCTCATTGACTCACAGTCACTTCTCATATAACCGTCTGGTACGACCTGTTGCGGAGAAGGACGCTGAGGCCCCGAGGGGTGCAGCGGCTTGGCCGAGGTCCCATAGTGAGTCACCGGCAGAAGTGGACCCAACGGCTCCCTACGTCCGGGCTCGGTTTCCTTCTGCCACACCATGGGCTCTTGAACCCAAAAGAGGCAAGGTGGGGGGTGAGGGGTCGGGGAATTGAAGTGGCTCCGGGTTCAGACCGCCTGGGTGCAAGTCTCGTTCTACCATCCCTTGCTGCGTAGGCCGGGCCGCCCTCTGGCCTCCGGGCCTCAGCTTCCTCAGCTGTTCAGTGGCCACGTGACACCTCTGGTGGGAAGTCCTCTGAGAGAGAACCCACGCTCGGGTCGTGGCGCCCAGGGTGAGGGCGGTGATTACCTGCCGGTGGACTCCCCGTCCTTCTGTGGGTTTGGGATCTCCTCACATACAGTCAGGAGAGCGGCGGCCATACACACACAGTAGGCGGCGCTGGAACCCAGGCCGGCCCCGGTGGGCAGCTGTGACCACACCATGACGTCCAGGCTGGGCAGGGCCCTGAAACACAGCAGGGTGCCGAGCGTGACTCTCTTGAGATCGAGTTAGCGGTCAAGGCCCAGGACTGGACATTGGCAGGGCCTGACTCCAACCCTTCGGCCTAGGTTTCTGAACTTGGGGACATTTGCCCTCCCCAAAAGCGGCCCTACGGGATGGGCAGAAGTCATGGTGAACCAGGCAGCTTGGAAACAGGTACCAGGATCCTTTAAAGCACAACGTTCCCTTGTGAACCACCAACCGCTTCTCTCAATTCCTTCCTGTTCCCTGCACAGCGGGGCTCTCCCGTGGCCCTGCTCTGTGTGTATCCCTGCCCGGGACGGCCTCTTCCTCCCCCACGCAAACTCCTACCCATCCTGCAAAACCCTTCTCAAACGTCTTTTCCACTGGGAAGCTTCCCCTGGCCACCCACCCAGAAGCCATGCCTAGCTCGCCTCGACGGCCCCCTTTCTCCACTGAGATCTTCTCTAGGTGCACTGTGTGTTCACAGGATGCTTCCCCTGTTGCATTTCCCCCAAGCAAGGACTGTTACACTTTACGTTCTGTATTTCCCGTTAAGTAATTCTGCTGTTTTCCACGTGTAAGATTATAATGAGAATCTGCTTTACAAAGTACACATGCCCGCCCCACTTAGATCAGGATGTTCTGAAATGTGCACCCCTTCCCAGAAAGGGACGTGCCCCTCACTCAAGATGAAAATCCCATGGCGGACAGCAAGAGTTGAGATGTTTGTGAATGTGCCCTCCGCACCGTGCCTGGCCCTTTGCTGTCTGAGGAAAGGGCTGGCTGCCCTTCGAGGCTTTCCCTTTGGGCCTGGGACCAAAAAAAATCACTGTGGGCTAGTTACAGAGCTAGGCTCATTTCATATATATTTCCAACCCTCCGAGTTTCCTTGGGAGAATATTAATGGCTCTTATTTCTCAAGCTGTGTGCCAGGCTCTGCGTCACGCACTTTAGATAAATAAACTCTCTCACCCTCACACGAAGCCTACGAGGTAGGTACTATTACTTACCCCCATTTTACAGATGAGGACACTGAGGCCCAGGGAGGGTAAGAACCTCAAGGAAGCTGGTGGGCGGCCGCCGTGGGGTCTGACCCAACGTGCCCCGACTCCCCATCACCACGTGACACGGTCTCACCAGCACCACCACCCTAGCAGCCGGCCTCCCTGATGGCAGGCAGCCCAGGTCCTATGTTAAGGGGTGGAGCGGACGTCGGCTTCACTTTGCTCGTCAGTTTCCCCGGGGGCCGCGGGACGGGGAGCAGGGCTGCCTCTGTGGGCGTGGCCCGGGAGGAGTCACGTGGCAGAGGCGGGAATCTGGCTCTGGGCCCAGGCCACGCACGTACCTCTGCTTCCGGCCGATGGACAGGTACAAGTGGAGGAAGGCCAGCACGGCCAGGCGCTCGGGGCTGGCGCCGTCCTCGGGGAAGCCCGCCACCTCCTTCAGCCTCTCCACTTGCTCTGCAGTGGGCGCCGTGGCGTCACCTTGCTCTGTGGCAAACAAGCACACGTGGCCAGGTGAGAGGGTCGCAGGAGCGTTCATAGACAACGGAACACGGGAACCCGAGCGGATGTGAGGATCAGCATCTGAGGGACATGGGTTCGCGGCCCGACCACCAGGGCCACGTCTGCCGGGGGCTTTGGGCTTTGCGGGCATGCACACTAGGGTCTGGGTCCCCACGGTACCCTTTACTGGCTCTGGGGCCTTGAGCACATGACTTACCCTCTCTGAACCTCAGTTTCCCTCCTTGGTAGGCAGGGATAGGAACAGTACCTCCTCCAATAAACTGAAATAAGGTGCTTAAGACCCGCGGCACAGTTCCTGGCGTGTAGTACGTGCTTAATTAATGGTCATCTTGAAACGCACATATGCACACGAAGTGCATGCTAGCTTGACCACTCAAAGGTCTGGGTTCGACCCCCACGGTACAAAACCAAAACCAAAGGCAGTATTCAATTATCCCCCAAACGCGTCCCTCTCCCGAACCAACTCTTGAGAATGGGACACTCAAAATCAGAGAACGTGAAGTGCTGACATTTGCTTGGGCAGCAGGAAGAGGCCCGGTAGGAGGCTGGGCCGCTTTCCTCAGAGAGCCTGAGGAGGCCGAGCAAGCCCGACCAGCTTTACAAATTGCTCCCTGAGTCACGGGTCCAACTGTAAAGGGAACAGAACGTCGAGCTTGGTGCGTGGGCGCTGGGAAATGTTAGGGTGGGGTACGCGTGAAGCCCTATGTATTCCCCGAAATAATGACACACTAAAGGCAGCCGAACCAGTTAACAGTGTTACGGAGAGCACAGACATTTCAGAGCGCTGCAAGGGAAATGGAATGACTCGTTAAGACACCGGATAGTTTAGGGGCGCCTGGGTGGCTCAGTAGGTTAAGGGTCTGCCTTCAGTTTAGGTCATGATCCCAGGATTGAGCCCCACATTGGGCTCCCTGCTCAGCAGGAAGCCCACTTCTCCCGCTGCCCCTCCCCCTGCTCATGCTCTCTCTCTCAAATAAATAAAAAATCTAAAAAAAAAAAAAAGACTTTGGAAGAGTTTGGAAAAATCTGGGTCTGAATCCTTTCTGCATCACTGACAATGCTGTGTGACCTGAGCCACTTGGCCCCTGAAGCTCAGTTTTCTCATCCATAAAATGGGGATGGATACCACCACCTGTGTCCAAGGCAAGCTGGAGGATTCTAAGAGTACCAGTATCCACGACACACTAGTCCAGTGCCTGGCACACCTATAGATGCCCAATGAAATGTTCCCGGTTTTTGTAACTATTGGGAAGCAACCAGAGAATACTGAAAGAAAAAGACAGAGAGCCTGGCAATCTACTAGAAAACATGTCTCTGAAAGGCTCATGTTCCATATTCCTTTTTCTCCTTGGAGAAATCACTCAGAAGCCCTCACACACGTACTACACTCGGAGTCCCAGCCCTGGCCCACCTCCGATCCTGCCGGATTCTCACAGCAACCCTCCCAGGCCACAGGACTCTGCTCACAGAGGCTCCGAGGGCTAAGTGACCTGTCCAGGCTCACACAGACAGGGGAACATCTCCAGCCTCGGGGAGGGGAGGCCCGGTGATCTTGGAATCACCCAGGGAGCTTCTTTCAAATTACACCTGCCTGATCCCCTGCCACCACGACCCCTGTTCTTTTTTTTTTTTTAAAGATTTTTATTTATTTATTTGACAGAGAGAGAGAGAGTGAGAGCAGGAACACAAGCAGGGGGAGTGGGAGAGGGAGAAGCAGGCTTCCTGCCGAGCAGGGAGCCCGATGTGGGACTCGATCCCAGGACCCCGGGATCATGACCTGAGCCGAAGGCAGACGCTTAACGACTGAGCCACCCAGGCGACCACGACCCCTGTTCTTAATAGGAGAGGGGCAGGGCCAGGAATCTGTCTGTATTGTTAAGAACAGCAACAACAATGAAAACCTCCCCGGGGGATCCCAAGGCATGACTGGTTGAGAAATGGAGCTTTCTGCCTGTTGACCTCATCTCCCTGCAAAATTCAGGAGTGGCTTGCTGCGGACTGATGGTTCCAGAGGGCAGGGAGCAGTTGGGAAAAGACCCCGGAGAACTCCCACTTGTCCCACTCTGGCTGAGAAACACTGTTCCAAACAATGAGGCATCAGCCTGGCGAGGAGACAGCAAATGAACGGAGAATAGAAAAACCCCTTCAGCTTTGGTGCAGATGGCAAGCAACCCGCGGATGAAAAACCCTGCCTGCTTATGAGGGGACACAACATTCACAATATTATCTAAAATCAGCGCAGGGGTCTTTATTGGCATGGAAAGAGAGTCCTGATACACTGAAGAAAACAAACAAACCACACAAGTTTGTATGGCCTGATCGGATTTTGGTTAAGGAACAAGATATCCTCCCCATCTCCCTCAATCTATCTATCCATCTGCAGAAAATAATCCAGAAGGATTAACACCAAAATGCTGAGAGTTGTCATGCGGGGTGGTCAGGGGGGCAGTGGTAACAGGTGCCTTTTTTTTTTTTTTTTTTACTGACTGTGTTTCACTATCGACTCTGTTTTCCAACTAATAAGCATGTTACTTTTATTTTTAATGATTTTTAATGATACCCAACACCAATCAATACCTCCTCCTTGTCAAAACCATCTCACAGAAGGAAGGCTCCCTTTGTCCACTTTCAGACCTCAGGACCCTCCCAGAGGTCACTAATCACCCCTGCATGTACATACATACTGATACTTAAACTGGGTCTTTCCTTAGATACATGTTATTTGCATCTTGTGGTTTTTCATCCAACAACAGGCCTTGAGGATCAGTCCACCACAGCCCACATGGATCCAGTGCATCATTTGACACTCTTAAGTTTAAAAAAATAAGTAAGTAAAGCTCATTTTATGGGGTCGAGAGAAAACACCCCCAGAGTGGCTAGTCTCTGACCCTCTCAGAGACAGCCTAGAATAACTACCCAGCTGTCCCCTTTCCCCTCTGGTCAGGGCCCAGGCTCTTCCCACACCCGGTTCCTCCCCGCTGCACTTACCCAGAAAGCTCGTGTCCTGCAGCTGAAGCCTGGCCACATCCCAGGCCTGCTTGACGCCAATGTTTGGTAAGCTGAGGCACACTTTCCCACTGCTGTGGGGCTGAAGCCGGAGGAATGTTCTCAAGTTCAAGGCCACAGCCAGTGCCACCTGTAGAATAAAGGGCAAAAGCAATGAGCCTGGGCATAGGGGGGAGGTGCAAAGAGTTTGGCTCCAGTCTTAAAACCGGGGGTCAGTGTCAATGTACTGAGGAGAGAGAGCACATACTAGCATATAGGGTACATGCCCACCCATGCCCGTGGCAGACACTGCTGATCAACCTTGGCATGCTCTCCCACTAAGTGACACAGCCTCTTCCCATCAATTAGGAGCTAATATCTACTTATGTTTGCCCTCCCCGTGCAAAACTTCAGAAGTCCTCCACACCAAGGAAAGGCTTCCCCACAATCATCACGTCAGCAAAGATAAAGTTAGGAACACAAAGAGTGACAAGCAGTGGAGGAGCACAGGAGTGGAAAAAAGCATGAGCTGTGGGTTCAGACAGACTTAGGTTCATTCCCGGTTCTGCTAAGGTACACGGGACCCTGGTCAAGCTACCAACCCTCTCCTAAGCCTCAGCTTCCACATCTGCAAAATGGGATAATCAAAGTTTAACCACAGAGGGCCGTCCTAAGAGTTAAATGAGATAATGCATCTCTCAGTTTTCTTTGCTGGATCCTACTCATCTTCCCCACTTCTGAATGTTGGGGTGCCCCAGGGCTCAGCGCTCCCACCTCTTTTCTTCTCCACTGAAGCCCAGCTTCCAGGTTGTCTCATTCCACCTGCACAGCTTTACATTTCAACTTTGTGCTCTCTTACTGGGTGAGGCCAGGGAAGCCCTTCAGTGGGTGTAAGACCTGTCTCTTCCCTGCCTTGCTGCGGAGAAACTGATCTCCTCTCCTACGTACTCCCAGGCTATGCCTCCAGGCTTCCTTTTGGCTTAAGAGTAGGGTCAGGGAGAAGAGGTGCCCAATTCTCAAAGGCTCTGGGGGACTTTACCTTGCCGTGGACCACGGCGTGCTCTCCGTGAAGGATGACTTTCCCTGGAGCAGACACCAGCAGGACTTCTGACAGCATGGCTCCTGACAATCCTGAAAGAAAAAGCCAGAGAGGGGTGCCTAGGTGGCTCAGTCGTTAAGCGTCTACCTTCGGCTCAGGTCATGATCCCAGGGTCCTGGGATCGAGCCCCGCATCGGGCTCCCTGCTCCGCGGGGAGCCTGCTTCTCTCTCTCCCACTCCCCCTGCTTGTGTTCCCTCTCTCACTGTGTCTCTCTTTGTCAAATAAATAAATAAAGATCTTTAAAAAAAAAAAGAAAAAAGAAAAAGCCAGAGAGAGGATGAAGCGATACTAGAGATTGCCTAGTTCAAACTCATCATTCTAACAAAAAGGGCAGCTACCATTCAGCACTTGCTATGCGCCCCAAAGACTGTGCAGTGAGGCAGTGCACTAAACGCATGAGAAAGACCTGGGTTCAAATCCCAGTTCTTCCACTCTCCAATGAGGTCATCTTCGCTAACTCACTCAAATGGCTAGGAATCTCGGTTTCCTCATGTTATGTGGGGACAAGAACGGGACTTAACTTCAGTGGGTTTTGGAAAGGTTACCTTACATAATGCAAGAGGAACACCTGACAGTGTCCGGCACTCATTCAATTACTGACAGCCATCTGTTACTGGTTCTGTTCCTGGTTGCAGCTTTTATTACTGCTGCTGTCGAAGGCAGAAATTTAAATGAAATCATGGGCCAGAAGGAACGCTTCCCTGGACTTTTAGGCTGTTTCCATTGCCTCACAATGATAAATCACAGGCTGTAGAGAACAGCCGTCAAACCCCTTCTTGCAAACGTAAGCCAGGATCTCTACAATACAGAGTCCTAGAAAGTGACTCGCTGGGTCTACAGGTGTGCGCGGCTTAGATTTTTATAAACTCTGGAGAATTACCACCCATTTAAGGCCTTACGTGCATTACCTTAATATAAGACACGAACCGCACAACAAGCCATGTACTATCGTGATCCCGTTTCTTAGCGGTGGAAACTGAGGCTCGGAACCGGGAAGCCTACTGCTGGTCCAAAGCTCCAAACCACTTCAGATTCAAGTTCGCCGACCGCTCGGGACGGACTCCCAGAGTCGGGGACACTGAGCCAGAGAAGCCGGGAGCCCGGCCCGAGGTCGTCCTGGGTCTCAGCGTCAAACCTCGCGCCACCCGGCCCCGCGACCCCAGCTTCTCACCTGCCTCCGCCCGCCCCGGGAGCAGAAGCGGGAGCGGCTCCGGACCTAGTCCCCGAGCGCCCCTCTCCCGGGGGGAGGGCCTCGTCCTTCCTCTCCGCCAATCAGAACACGCGAGCTGGGCGTCCTTTCCCAGTTGGCTTGAACATTGACCAATAGGTGTTGCAACAAAGCTGTCACGGGTTTCCCCGCCCCTTCAGTAAACCAATGGGAAGCAAGCCCCTGGGAGTGTCCCGCCCTGGGCCGAGAGCCACGGACCAATGGAAAATGGGGCTGAACGGTGGTGCGGCCGCGGGTAGGTGGAGTCACTCCGGGACCTGGACGGGAGCCTGGCGGGGTCAGCCCCCGACGAGCTGCCTGGCGCATGGCTGTGTGGGGCCTGGGAGGCCGCCTTGGCCTGCGCGGCGGTGTCGGCGCCGGTAGGCTACTGTGTCCCCGTTTCCAGAGCCACCGCCCGCAGGGCGTGAAAGACGGGGACGGGTGAGTGCCTGGCTGGGAGGGTAACTCGGATACCTGCCGCAAAATTGTGGGGTCGTCGCTATGATGACGTCACAGCGCTGTGAGGTCACCGTAGCAACCGCCGGGTGACGTCCTCTCTTGGTCCTAAGTGGTCACGTGGGCACCGTGGGCACCGTGGAAGCCAGAGACCAACATTTCTTTGCCCAAGTCCGAAGGAAGCCCAGCTGTCAGCGGTCAGGGCAGGACATGTCCCACGGGGGCCGGGAGGGCCATCTTGCGGGGCCTCACGGTCAGGTGGGGGCCTCAGTTCAGATTTTGACGTATCTCCCAGGCAGTTCATACCTTAAGACACAGAGATACACCAACGATCTGAAGATGGCTGTCATCATAGACCTTTAAACTTGCACCCCATTCCTGGACCTCAGAACCTGCAGAGTACCATGAATTAATAATGGATCGATAAATTTCATAGATCCAGTAATTGAACGTTTTGAATAACTTCCTAATGCCATGTTTTAGTGTCGAAGCCTGTATTAAAGGTGTTATGTTGCAATTTGAAAATGCCAGAATTCGACTCTGTTTTAGCAGTTCATCATTCCTGAGTATACCTGAAGCTTCATAGAATGGAAGTGGCCCAGATTGCTTTCTCTCCGAGAAGCCTGGACTTGGCGGAATAGAGGATAAGAGTTTGGGTGGGTAGAAGTAAGGGTGGAAGTAAGAGTTTGGGGGGGGGAGTAAGGTAGTCTTGGGCATGAATCCCAGCCGTATGTCTTCCTTCCTGGGTGACCTGGGAAGGCAGGTGTCATCCTGTGAGCTCCAGTTTTCTCAACAGTAAAATGAAGGTCATAGGTAGTTCCTCTCTTTGGGGCTGTGGGAAGATTCCAGGGGTGATTCCAGGAGAATGCCAGCAATCCAGTTAGCACAGTGCAGAGACTATGGAAAGTGATCAGTAAACTCCGTGAATATTTATTGAGCATGAGCTACTCTGCAGATATGGATGTGGGCAAGACATAGAACTTGCCCCCAAAGGGCTGCATTAGGAAGAAAAGGAGGGGAATGATGTCAGCAGAGATGCCGGCAGATGCTGGTGCTGTCCCTCAGGCTACAAGCAGCAAGCTGTGACCACTGAGGGAGGTGTCACACTGGGGAAGCCATCCCCACTCACCACGTCTTGATGTCTATTTCTCATCAGGCCACAGTCTTCCTTGAAGACACCCAAGATCCCCAAGATATACACCAAAACAGGAGATAAAGGTAGGGGGCGGGTGAAACATGCAAAAAAAAAAAAAAGATAGTCAACTCCATCTTAAAGTTCTGCCAAATTGTTCAGTCATTAAAAATTATGTAAATCTCAATAAATATCAAATATGTGAAATGAAAGAGGTCTAAGACATATATATATGTGTGTGTGTTTTTCAAATATATATATATTTTTTTTTAAAGATTTTGTTTATTTATTTGACAGAGACACAGCGAGAAAGGGAACACAAGCAGGGGGAGTGGGAGAGGGAGAAGCAGGCTTCCTGCTGAGCAGGGAGCCCGATGCGGGGCTCTATCCCAGGACCCTGGGATCATGACCTGAGCTGAAGGCAGACGCTTTAACGACTGAGCAGCAGTCCCTCGCCTTGGCCAGAAAATGGGGGTGTTTGGTCATTGTTACAGTTTGGACAGTGTTCTGGGCTCAGACGTGATTATGGAGGCTCTTGTTTTGGTCTTGATGTGTCACAGTCCGAATGGGGCCGTCAGATGGTGTTCTGTGAATTCGTTCGAGTTCCAGCAGGAGAACACCACAGCCCACCTGTGAGCGCCAGGCCAGCTCCCGGCTGTGGGGAGCAGATTCGCTCTTTCTCTGTGGTTAGGGGAGAACGGTGGCAAATTGTGACCTAGGCAGAGATACAGAGAACTTCGATTTTACATGAAATATAATTATAATGTATATATAGTATGTACCTCCATGTCTTATTTCTTTAGCAGGATGGTGAGTCCGTGATTTTGAGGCTTAAAATAAAAGCATATCAGGAAAGAAGTGAGGGTCGTGGTTACCCTTAGGAGTAGCAACTGAAAGGGGGTACATGGGGGCTTCAGGGATGCAGATCAGATTCTAGTTATTGATCTGGGTGATCACAGGTATATTGAGGTGGTGGCAATTCATCAACATGTACACTTAATTTTTTTTTAACATTTTATTTATTTGAGAGAGAGAAAGAGCCCGAGTGGGGGGAGGGGCAGAGGGAGAGAGAGAATTTCAAGCAGACTCCACGCTGAGCGGGGAGCCTGACGCGGGGCTCGATCCCAGGACCCTGGGATCATGACCTGAGCTGAAGTCAGACGCTTAACCGACTGAGCCTCCCAGGCGCCCCCAGCTTGTACACTTATGATTTGAGCATTTTTCTGTGTATATGTTCTACTTCAGGTGGAAAGTTTTTTAAAAAGAGCATATCAGGAAAATAAAAAAAAAAAAATCTTAACTTGAGTGGCTAAACATTTTTTCACAGGGTTTTCTAGCACCTTCACTGGAGAAAGGAGACCTAAAGATGACCAAGTGTTTGAAGCCGTGGGAACTACGGATGAATTAAGTTCAGCCATTGGGTAAGGCAGACGGGATTAGCCTTGAGGTTGAGTTTGAATTGGCATCAGTCAGTGTAGTTTACGTGTAGCTCTCGAGAGTGCTGGCTGGTCCCCCGGGCTGCCAACGCTCGAGGAACCCGCCTTGGCCTGGCAGTGCAGGGGCTTGGGGTCAGTTCCACAAGGCTCCCGGGCTGCAGGCTCCTTTCCGTTCCTGCCCTGCCTGCCCCTGCCTGGCATCCGTCCCATGCATGTGAAGCTGCCGGCCCCTCCATCCCTGACTCCCCCACCCTCCAGGCGAGTACGCTTCTCAGTGACAGGCCTGTCTAGGTGAGATACTCGGGCCAGATAATGGCAGGTGCAGAGGGTCAGAGGGTCTGCCAGCAGAGTAGAGAAGGCAGACGCTTTGGTCTGTGTGTGAAGGTGGGAGGTGAGGCACAGGATGAAATGGGCAGAGGGGAAGGAAGGTGAGGTGGGCATCGGCTGTTTAGGATGAGCAAATCAGTAAGCCGTGAGCCCCCAGTCCGTGTGGGCAGGAGACGGGGGGCATCTCAGTTGTGGATTCTTTGTCAGATCATGACCAAGCACCTCCATGTGCCAGGCGCGGCTCAGCAGGGTGCCCCAGCCCACATGCTCTGTGGAGCCCGCAGTCCGAGGGGGCCGGGGAGCAGACAGACACTAGAGGGGCATCTACAGGCGGTGGGGGCCTGATGGAGCAAGCTCCGAGGAGGGGCTGACACCTGGCCTGCGTCATGGGGACGTCCTCGGTGCCGATATTCCTGAGCACGTACTTTGTGCCAGGCAGGGGGATACTGCTGTGCTCAGGGCAGATGGTGTCCGGCCTGCAGAGTTGTCCCACACTAGATGACAAATGACACGTTTGTCTGTTTAGTTCTGACTGCAAGATGAACTACGAAGGTGCACTGGTGGTTCTTCATTGGCCCTTTTGAGGCCGTTCTCCACCCTTGTCTTCTCTGGTCTGCCCAGGAGGTAGCCTACATCACGTGGTGACGCTTTCACCCTCCCCACCCCAGTCCCCTTGTCCTCTGGCTTCTGGGTGGGTCCAGCCGATGGGAGGCACCAGCAGGAGACGGAACTTGGTGGAGACAGGTGTGGGAGCATTTCTGCCCCTGCTCCCCAGTGACTCTCGCCCAGCCGGCTGCATGGCTCCGGGCAGTGGCCCCCCCAAGGTTCCAGCTCTCCTGGGGTGGTAGTGCCTTTGACCCTCCCTTGACCGCCCCCCCTGTTCAGGCCCCTGCTTTTGCTAATCTTTGCCATCCATTGTCAGTTTCCAGAACTCTTCCCACACTCTGTTCATCGTCCCCTCACCAGACTTTCCTCTAGGAACCCTGTGAATGCGCCACTGACTCTTCCCTGCCAGGACCCTGCCTGGTGCAGAGAGAGGGAGCAGAGTTTGGAGGGAGGCAGGAGCCAGGGTCCTGACCTGCACCTGGGGTGCTTGGCTTTCCTTGTCCCACCTGCCTTCCCAGGGAACTCCTACTCAGCCTTCAAAGACCCACCTCCAGCACCACTTCCTCCAGGAAGCCCTCCCTGAACCCCAGCCAAGGCCAAGGTTCTCGGGACCCCGGCCCTTTCCTCCAGAGCACTAACCTCAGTTTGCAACGTCAAATTCAGTCACGTGATACCCGATTCCCACCTCCCTGTCCTGCTGAACACAGCCTGTGTCCCTAGCACTCACGCTGAACTGCCTGGACCGGGCCAGACCAGGCATTGAAAAAAGAAGCGTCGACTGGATCAGTAATGAGTATAAGAAAAGGCATTTTGAGCAACACACACCCGATAACCAAATGAAAGGGTCTGACATTCTTCTCGTCCCCAAGAAAAATAAGACCGCGTGTGTTAGAGCTGCATTAGCTAAAGGACCTGCACCCAGCGGACCTGCTGCCTCATGTAAGGGCAGGGCCCAGGCACATCATGTTAGAGGCAGATTCTTTTCTTTTTCCTCATAGGTTTGCTTTGGAATTCATTGCAGAAAAAGGCCACCCATTTGCTGAAGAGCTTCGGAAAGTGAGTAGCAGTGTTGGGCCCC